CTATGCTTTTTTGAGCATTCAACCTAATCTCAAAATAATATTAAATTAGGATTATTTGATTGTGCGGTCAAAAATCTTTTCATATGTGGCAGTTAAAGGAAACAAAATAAAAGAGTTAAAACAGGAAATATGGAACAGGCTGACTTCCTCTTGGTAGTAGTCATATTCACATTGGCAACTTGCCCTCAATTTTACTAAACCCCTGCTGAGCTGTTGTATAACAAAAACACACTGATTAGTTTAGATGTGCATGCACTCTTCAATAGGTAAAACTAGCTCAAAACGTGCAGTCTAATAAAACTGTCCTCCAGTAATAAACGTTTTTATCAATGTACCGATTCTGTATTGTTCCATTATACTGACAGGCGTTTCTATTATTTTGTCCACCCCTTTAGATCGAAGAACATCGGCAAAAATAACACAAACGCCTCTCTGTATAATGTAATACAGTTTAACAGCACCACAGACTATAGCCTCCATGTGGTCAGAATGTTAAAGCAATCCTTCTCTATAAGTTTCAACAACACACTATAAATAAAGACAGAAGCCACATCTCCATTTCCTTCCACAGTACAAACATTTACCCAAAATATTCAGTACTTCCATCAAGGAGATAGCTGAGCCAACATATTGTCGGAACAGGGCTCAGCGTGCTCGGGTCAGGTATCCACACTGTAGTTGTACGAGCAGTAATGAACTGGCACCTGAAAAAAAAGTTCTCAGCTGTTCTATGCTCCTGTGCCCCCTCACGTACTGGTGTGTTCACTGGCTCTCATGTACAAGGCAAACAAACGCTCTCACTGCTGAACCCAATGAATGATTAAATGTTATAACTGTTCAACTACAGCTATTTAAAGAATGCTTATCTGCAGTGCCAGTGTTCTCTGTGCTGAACGGGTGTGTTTCACTGAGATTTACACGTCAAACTGTAGCTGTGTATTTGCCCTGTGGGTGTGCAATGGACAGAAGCCTTCCACAACAACAGTGAAGCTCAGGAAAACTCTACAGTGAAGCAAGCAATGAAATGTTTGACATGATAGTTGTAGCAATAAATATAACAAGAAGGTCAAGGCTGAAAATAAGTTTCCTTTAAATGTTCCATATTAAAAGCTACATCCTCCTCCCCTTTGACTTGATTGTAAAATTGCATGAAGAACTTCGGTATTCAGACTATATTTGAGGCATGTGCACTGTGTTTAAAGTTGTCACTATAGCTGCTTTCAGACATACACTGGACTCCACAGTTCTTTCGAATATTTCCAGAGGAGGCGCATGTTTGAACGCAAATGTCCAAGTGAGACGGTAGATCACTAGAAGTTTCCACGGTATAATTTAGTTGGGAGGAGGTGAAGTGATATTTGACAGAGCCCCCTCACAATTCTGTTTTCTCTCTATTCTCTTCTTCCGACAATGATTCATTGATGGAAAACATGACAATGACCTGAATATCTGTAATTTATCAACTAGGGCAGAATATAATATACTGACAAGCGATGCATGATGCATGGAACACCACTTATTGCAGTTCAAGCTGTCTTTTGTTTACATATGATACAATTTTGATATATCTTGCAGCCCTCGTGGGAACACAGCAGGAGATCCCCCGCTGGATTTACTGCGAGCGAGCGTTGGGTTAACACGCTACAGACACAAAAATTAAAAAAAACAAACAAAAAGAAGTCAAATATTTCTGGTGACAAAGCGGTGACACGCACGTAGAAGACACAGACAAAGACACAGACAAAGACATCAAGAGAGTTTGTGGTGATGAGAGCTGACAACAGTGTCGGGGTGCCGTAAACATGATGACGTGATTTGGCAGTGGAATTAATATAAGGATTTGATGCTGTTGTGGACGCATCTGTGCAGAAAAAAATCCTGCTGCGTTGTGCATGTGTAAAAGGCAAACTACGGTTAAACTCCGTAGCCAACTCTTCAGATACCAGTAGGTCATGTCTGAAAAGGGCGTATGTTTAATATAACTATAAAAACTAGATACCACACACACTTGACAGTAACGAATAAATCCTCACATCAGTCTCCAACAAGTTGTACATGCTGGTCTCAGCCACTTCCTTTGACTCGTGAAACTTCTCTAGGGCCTGTCGAACCTCCTCATCTGGGATCTTGCCCTGACGCTTTTTCTTGTAGTCATAGTCCAGGCGACGACCCTCAAGCTTCTTGAGGTGGTGCTGAAGAAAGCAGAATGGAATGATAGAGGAAGGTTTTTCTGATTTCTCTTAACCTCAGACCATTAGAGGGTTTAATCCACAAAATAGTTTATTTCCCCCATCGTATCAAAGGCTGTTAGTGTTTCACATACCTGTATCTCTCTTAGGTCTTTGTCACAGAGCCCTTGCAACGGATCAATGAAGTTCTGCTTAACATCGATGTCTAGAGAGTCTTTGACTTCTGCCAATCTCTTCATGGCCTCTCCTACATCTACTAGTGCTCCGCCTAAACCACACAGACAGAGATTAAAGACTCAGTGACATTAGTGCATTTACAGTTTAAAGCATTTGAAGTAATCATAGCACCACCAGGCCACATGTTCACAAACATCTTACCAAAGTTCGTTTCTTCTCCCAGTTCCCGTCCATATTTGCCCATACACTCTCCTAATAACCCCTCAGCCTGAGGATAACCTGGGTTCTTCACTTGACCACGAATCTTTGACATGGTGTTTAACATGGACAGTTTGGCCCGAGACGCTGGTGGAGTAAGTTTTAACAAATATTAATCACATAGTTTAAACCATTTAAATACATGCATGTAAACCGATGTTGTTCTCACCTGGGTTGGGCTGAAGGTACTCTGATGTTTTGGAGATGACCTCCACTACTGCTTTACTGGTCACATCTACTTTCTACATAACACAACAAACACACACATCACAAGTATACAAAAGAGCTACTGTAGTCACAGAACTAATAAGACTGACTGGCAAAGGAGGTATTCATCACTTTCATTTTTCTGTTCCAAGGTGTTTGCATGCACTCTAAGGTATCTTTAAATTCAGTATGTTATTCCCTTTTACTTTTCTTTATTTTCTTAAGCATTTAAGCAGCTACAGTGAAATGGGGAGAGTGGGAAAGACACGCAGCAAACGGCCAGGTTCAAATCGAACCTGCAGCTGATGCAGGAGGACCCAAGCCCCTCTGTAAATGGGGTGCACCCTAGGTCACCTGGTAAAACGGGTGCCCATTGAAGGTTTTTTTTCAATCCTATCAAGTTTGGAAAAACATAATATATTACGGTCACATATACATTTAAACTTGGGCTCCAGTAAAGTTTCATTCTTATAATTGGTTGGTGTTTTTAGTCCAAATATTTAATAAACTATATTAGAAGACTAGATGTTGACACCAGTGAATTTTGGCTTTTTTACTTTAAAAAAGACGTGTACCGTTTATTGTGTAACTCACTGATTTTGTTTTTAAAAAGCTGATCATATCTTCTTGACATTAGTTTTCAATGTCATCCACTCAATTTCTTCATAAACACTGAGGTCAGGAAATTTCCTCAACCAACAAAGGAAGCATGATGTTTTAAATTAGTTGCACATATGAAGAATTATCAGTAAAAACACCAGGATGTTTATGTACTGAGTGAAAGAAACAATCAGGTTTACAGCTTTGGTTAAAGACGTTTCTTATTTAAGACCACAGACAGATGCCTCTCTTACCCGTTCCAAGTCTCTGAAGTCATCATCTAGTTTAGTTCCTTCTGCTCCTCCGACTTTCTCACTTACCATCTAGAGGGAGAGAAAGATGAGTGCAAATGAATTAATGCTGCTCATAAGGTTCTGATTTAAGTGGGAAACAAGCCTAAGCTTGTATCTAATTTAGACTTGGACATGTTTGCTCTGTGTAGGAAATGCATATTATGGACACATCTTTTAGGAAAATGAATGTGAGGGAAGCAGCAAACAGTAAATATTGTACAAATCCATCTGTTACCCAAACTCCTCTGTTGACTGAAACAAGAGTTTAGAATAACAGGTAACTGTGCAGCAAAACACTAGAAATAAAAACGGACATCGACATGACAAGTGATTCACACTTTCCTTGCTTTACACTTTGCAGGATGAAAAAAAACTGGACCAGCACACTCCATTATTTCCATCTCGGTAAAGACAATATGCTTCAACTTAAGCAGACTGAAATATGTTGATTGAAAGCACATGTATTTCCAGTGAGATCTCTCAGCCTGTTTTTAGCCAACAGAAAAAACCCAAGAAATGGAAACAGCCACCTTCCTGTACAGTATAAGCACGGTTATACGTCATTTTTTGGAGTCAGAAATAAACAACAAAGAACATTTGCATGTACTGCTGTGACAATTTAACATAATTAAAATCTTATCTTGACTGCTGTGTCCATGAGCTATATAGAATGAGCAGAAAAACAATTCCCATCCATTGCTACCACTCAGATCATAAAAAGCCTATACAACTAACAACTAAGTTGTACAAAGTCAAAAGCAAACCACAATAACTAATCTATGCCTTTCTTATGTTTATGCCATGATTCCAGTCAAACTGACTCTCTACACCTTTTTATAAAACTTCAGTCACACTAGGACGTGCTGTTGTGAACCTGACTTGCTCTTGTTCATTGATGTTCCAAGGTACGTTGTTGCATCCCTGTGGTTAATCATTAATTATGTTGCGCTGTAACATTAACAGAGGGAGTATTTCAATCTGTCTAGACAGTTAATGAAACACCAAGAGAGAGATCCTGACAAAGGAATAAAGAAGTTACAAATATTAGCTTTTTATTCGTAAGCACACCAAGTATTGTCCTTACAAAGTTTCCGAGGCATGTTAACAATGAGAGATTCTTTTGACAGGTCAAACTAAATTAAAATTCAGGGAATGTATATTTGCAAGGCCTGGAATACAATATATACAACTTTACAGATTGACAAAATTACCTTTTCAGATGCTCTTTACTTATGGAAATGTAAATAAGATATATCCAGTATTTGTTTAGATTAAGATACGAATTTCTCTGTAGCCCAACCCCTTTTTTGACTGGCTGTTAAAAATGGCTGATATGAGCCTTTCACAAAGATAGCTGTATTAGCGTTTGTTTTCAGATATGCACCAAAATGAAAACTTTATTTCAATTTAATAAAAAATGCAGGAAAGATTTTTTAAGTGTCAAATATCAAGCCTCCATTACATATCTCTTTCATTAAGGTTTAAAACATATACAGATATACATATTGACTGATTGTTGTTGGAAAAATGTATATTGGTAAGGATCTACTTTTCTCCCCTGACCTTTACTTTAAATGTACTCATCTATGATTGAGCAACAGCAATGTTATTTCCTGCATGACTCAAACTGATGGCCATTTTGTGATTACTGGAACAACCAAGACTTCGACTCTGGCAAAAAAGCTTATTTGTGTTATGATGGGTGAAATTCAAACTAGTACACTGAGCAAACAGCAACATGAGTTTATCTACTCAAAGATTCTATTATAACAAAAAGAGAAAAAATAAATTGAGGTTACTCCAGAACCTCAGCAGCAGTGGACAGTCTTTAGCTTCACTGTCTAGTGTCAGGATCTTGAGGTTATGTGCTGAATCTCAGCTGTGTGCAGAAAGCACATGACAGGGGGCCTTGGGGGATTCAGGTCACAAGTAAAGATACAACCTCAACTCTCAGTCTACTCACACATGTTTGCTATCTTATCTTTCTGGGTACAAAAACCAGCCTTACAAGACTTCTGGTGAGGAGTGATTGATTGAACTCATGATTGGTGTTTCTATTTTGTTATAAGCCACTAAACTTAAGATTGCAGTCTTTACTGACTTTGGGAAGTAAAAAAAAGAAAGAAAACCATTTCAGAATAATCTGTTGGCCACTTTACGCCATAGCTTTTTAAAATGAGATTATCAAGTCCTCAGACCTGTGTAAAATTGTATTTACATGCACACAGGCTCAAATGAATGGAGGCTAAAAACATCCACAAAAGGTTGTAATTGGGAAGTTTTGGTATAAACAAAACACAGCTACAAGAGAGATCAGTCTACTACAGGTAACCTTTTGATCATAACAACAGGGTATTAGTTAAATGGTAGTTCACTATCATAAGGCAGAGTGCAAGCTCCTGTTTGGCTTTAGATAACGTGAAGATTTCCAAGTACCAGACTGATGTAGATTCATGTTGTTTTGACTCTACCTGAGAAAATGGCAGTCAAACATGATGGCTAAGGTTAAAGCCTTCATATGTAATAATACATCTTGAGCACAGATTTGAAAGAGTAAAAAGAAAACTTGTTGTTGGAGACCGCACACTGTCCAGAAATTAGATCACTGAAAACTAGGTCAAAGTAGAGATAAAATGCAGAGTTAAAGCTGTGACACAGCAGTACATGAGGAAATTACACTTCAAAAGGAAATAATGTGGATGTGATCAGACACCCAAAGTGAAGGTGCAGTGATTTCACAGCATTTCTGGTCCTACGTAGAAAAATAGCTGTAATTCTCAAGACATCAATTGACCTTAGGCTTAAGACTATTTTTTATGTCTGCATCCATTCCCAATATTTTCCCATCATACATTATGGAAACTTTAAACTCCAACTCCCTCCTGGTTATGTCAAGTAAATCAGTGAGCTTTTATACACACAGGAGCCAAGTACCAATCCGCACTAGAGGAGAGTGATATGAATAAACAAAGTTCTCTACATTATCATATGTAAATGAATGTTGTGATATTGTTAAATATCATGCTATAATTGTTTTATCATAGACGCAGGAGAAATTATTGGATATAACATGCAATGACTATACAACTATACAAGAAAAGCAGGCAGACCTGAAAAATCTTAATATTTTATCACATTGAGGAAATATAAAGTATGAAGGAGAACTTGCTCCTCATGCTGATATGCAGGATTGTCCTCAAATGATCCAATACATCCAGAGATATTAAATCTCATAGATATCATTAAATTGGTTCTGCTCTTCTTAAAAGACCCTGTTAGATGCACCAGTAGTGATCAGTCTACACACCTGTATTATGACTCTCAACTAAGAGTATTATTAACCAAAATGTGGATTATATCGCAGACTTATTATAATTCCCATAAACCGGCTTAATCCTCAATGAAGTCTGCACTAAACTCTAATCTAGTTTTTATCAATATATCCGTACTCTAATCCTTTCTTACTGTACACACCCTTGTTATGATGAAAGCGGCAGGTCAGAAATGTAACATTTAAGTGTGATGCTTTGAAGAGGCTTATTATGCTATTATTTCAAACCTATGCTTTGGTCCAACAAAATGCATTATTTTGTATTAATAACATTTAATTGTTCTTATATTACATAAACATTTTCAAAAGAGAAAATAACCACTGGATAACAAATTGTTCATATGGCTGCTCAAAAATTCTGACTGCAGTTGTCCAGCACCAGTCCAGGACCAGTCTATTAACTTAAATCTGTCATCTCTATTCAGGAATAACATCTGCTCACACTTGTCAAACCTCAAACCTCTGAGTGCCTTTTATTTGGAGCATTTCAGTGCCCCTTGAATGTGACATGACATGGTTTTTACAGATTTTGTTTAGTTTCTCAGAAAAACACCCGATAAGGAAGGAGAGAAAGTAAAAGAGAAAAAACAAGGATACTGCAATTTCCACAACCAACTTCCTGCATGCCTCCAGCCATAGAAAGTCTGAGCTATGTCAAGTGTTATTGAGTCTCATGGAGTTTTGGCAAGAAAAGCCGCTGCATTGCAGTCAAATAAAGGGGAAGCACACTCGTACACACTCCCCCTTCTCTGCATCACTCCTCAGGGCCAATTTTTCACGCACAAACCGTCTCCATCACCTTTACTATTCATTTTCACTACATTCACAACCACCAGGCTTGACATGACAGCTTGTGGATCGGAGTTATTTTTCCTCCCAGGCAAACCTACAGGGATCTGAGTGTGTTCCTGTCAGGAAACTGGGGCAGAAACCAAATGTCTTTCCTGCTTAGATCAGCAGGGGAAGGAAGGAAAGCGACTCCAACAAAAATCTCTGCCCGTCCCCACCCTTAACTGAGAGAGCTGGCTTACATTACAAACATCTGTGTTTTTCACCTTCATCAACAACACTGACATTTCTAATTCGTTGGTTTTTACATCTCAACTGCTCTAAATATTGATCTGACTCACTTCACCGAATACAACACACAGCTGGAACATTACAAAAGCAGCTTGGGTTCGACTACATCAGCTTCACCACATGTTTACATTCTGGTTTCGATTACTCATTATTTTTCTTATGTTGTTTTATACTCACTCACCAGGAAAGACCCTGAGGCCAACTATGCAAATTGCTGAGTGTCTCTTGAATCTGAATCATTACACAACTACATAAGAAAAACTTTAAAGCACATGAATATAAGATAGTTGCATGTAGTTATAGCTTGATAAGGCTACTCAACATTAGTTAAAGTTAGCTAAAAGCTAGTTAGATTGACGTTAACGTTGCAAAACATCAAAAGATGTCTGGTAACTTTAATGCTAGCTGTAAAAGAACAAGTGAAACCAGATATTAATAACCCTGATATTTTCAACACAGACACAAGTTGTTTTTTTCAGTTTCATGGAGTTAACACAATAACGTCCACCTTGACACAGCGTTGATCAACATTAGCCAGCCACAAACCGTTAGCTACACATGCTAATATCGAGGCTAGCTCGCTAACGCTGCCTGACAGCCGCTAGCTAAAGAGAAGAGGAGAAAAAGTTTCTGCAAACCTGGCTGGCTTTATAAAACTGCTTCTTCAGGCCCGCTACCGACATCTTGAGCCCCGGCTTCCCTCAAGGCTCCGACGAAGTAGTAAAATGGGTCAACGACAGGAGCACGGTTAGCGGAGCAATCAGTCAGAGAAGGGGCAGAAATGTTCCCCAGGAATCATAGGACCGCACAGCCGTCACTCCAAGTCGGGACACGCCAACTGACCACGTCCACGTCGAGGGTGCCTCTCCCCCGCTGTCTGTCTCCTGGGGTGACGGGGCAAACCGTGGAGAAACAGAAGAAACCCTCCACAACACTGTTTCCTGACCTGGAGACACAGACAGTTACCGAGACACGGAGCGACAGACCCGCAGCGGCCACCGTGAACTAAAGTTTCCCCAGTTCACTCCTCAGATTTAATGTGACGGTTGAATTGGTGCACACCGCCCCCTGCTGGATGGAGCATGCGACACACCCGCCTGTCTGCTGCTGGCCACATGTTCACAGTCTCACAGAACAGATGTTTACAAGCTCATCAACCTCTGTCCCCCACAGT